TGTTGGCAAGAATGTGGAGAAATTGGAATGCTTGTGCGTTACTGGGATGTATGTGGGAATATAAAATAACACAGCCACTGTGGAAAATTGTACAGCGATTCCTCAGAGAAAACTAAACATAAAATCACCATATGATTTAGCAATTCTTTTTCTGGATATATACCCAGAAAAAGTGAAAGCAGGGACTAACAGATATTTGTACATCATATCAGCAGCATTAATCACAATAGCCAAAAGGTGGCAAGAATACAAGTGTCCATTGATAAATGGATAATTAAATGTGATGTATATGTAGAATGGAATATTATTCTGCCTTATAAAGGAAGGAAATTTTGACATGTGCTACAATATGGAAGAACCTTGAGGACATCATGCTAAGCGAATTAAGCCAGTCACAAAAGGACAACTGTTGTATGATTCCACTAAACGAAGCATCTGGAGTAGTCAAGTTCATAGAGACAGAAAGTAGAATGGTGGTTCAGGGGCTAGGGAAGGAGGAAATGAAGAGTTAGTGTTTAATGGGTACAGAGTTTCAGTCAAGAAAGATGAAAACGTTCTGGAGATAGTGGTGTGAAAAACAATAAAAGGAAATATCACTAAAATGGAGCAGGGAAGCTAGAAGGGGAGGTGACAAAGAGGAGCCTTATCATTCAACATCAATAATAGGAAGCATTGTCAATTATGGACCCCAACAGAAGAATCCTCAACAGGAAAGAATCATTAATTACAGACCTCATCACAAAAACATGTCCATTGCATCTCCTATAAGAAATCACCCCCCCACCTACAACTCAGCCAATGAGAAACCACCATCACCTTGGACTCATGCTTTTCTCCAATTGACTTTTGTTCAAAACAACCCCTCCCATCTTCCTCATTCTTCTCCATAAAATAAGATTCCTCTCCTTTGCTGGACTTGCCTATCGTTTTGCCATAGCTTGTTTGTCCCAAATCGAGATTCTCCGTTATTCCCAAATAAACCCTTTTTTGCTGGTAAAAGAACTAACCCTTTTATTGTTAAGGTTAACGGGGGGATGGTTGCACAACAATGTGAATATACTTAATGCCATCGAATTATATGCTTAAAAATGGTTAATATGGTAATCTTTATGCTATGCATCTTTTACCACAATTTTTTAAAAAGGAACAAAAGAACTGGAAAAGCTATTTTTAACTTTTAGAATCAACCTATAGACAAAACAGAAAGACTTCATTATGATTGCAGATCAGAATATCAATAAGATGTAGAAATACAAGCACAGATAATAGAAGCTGAGATTTACAAAAAAAGATGGGAGCTTACGGGAGGTAGAGATGTTAATATCTTCATCCTCTCAAGCTGAGAGTGAAAAGGCACCATCTGTCCTTGACGGAATAAGAAATAGAAAGTGTAAGTATATTGCTTAAAGATACAACAATAACCAACTTTAGAACTAAAACTAGTAATACGTGTATTAAGAAACTACGAGGGGGATGCCTGGGTGGCTCAGTTGGTTAAGCGACTGCCTTCGGCTCAGGTCATGATCCCGGGGTCCTGGGATCGAGTCCCGCATCGGGCTCCCTGCTCGGCAGGGAGTCTGCTTCTCCCTCTGACTCTACCCCCTCTTGGGCTCTCTCTCTCACTCTCTCAAATAAATAAATAAAATCTTAAAAAAAAAAAAAAAGAAAAGAAACTAAGAGGGAAGGAACAGAGGGGTTCTGGAAATGTGTTAAATCCATATCCACCATTGGATGAGATCATTTGAAAATGTCTGTACTATATAAATTAAGAAATAATAATATAGATGTTATTTAAAGAGACTTTTATAAAAAATGATGTTATTTATTTGATGTTACTTATTGAGCCACCCAGGCACCCCATCAGTATTCTTTTGTAATTGATTATATTCTATTTTTATTTCTTTAAAAAAAATATTTTATTTTAGGGGACCTGGGTGGCTCAGTCAGTTAAGCGTCTGCCTTCGGCTCCTGGTCAGGATCCCAGGGTCCTGGGATCGAGCCCCCCATCAGGCTCCCTGCTCAGGGGAGAGCCTGCTTTTCCCTCTGCCTCTCCCCCTGCTTGTGCATGTGCACATTCACTCTCTCTCTCTCTGCCAAATAAATAAATAAAATCTTAAAAAAAAAAAAGAATACTGATAAATTGAGTTCTTTGGGGGGAAAAACAGCAAAATATTAAAATGGTTAGAAAGCATAATCAGGAAAAATAATAATACAAACAAATCAACAATCCCTAAAATGGATGGAACTACAGATACAGATGTGATAGCCATATATTTTTTTTATTTTTTTTTAAAGATTTTATTTATTTGACAGAGAGAGAGACAGCGAGAGAGGGAACACAAGCAGGGGGAGTGGGAGAGGGAGAAGCAGGCCTCCTGCAGAGCAGGGAGCCTGATGCGGGGCTCGATCCCAGGACTCTGGGATCATGATCCGAGCCGAAGGCAGACACCCAATGACTGAGCCACCCAGGCGCCCCTGATAGCCATATATTTTTAAAATGTGAAACCCTGGAACATGCTGAATGGTTCTCTAGAAATTAAAATTATCTTGAGAAGAAACAGAAAACCTGAACAGGCTGATGACCCTAGAGAAGAATGAAAAGAAGTCAAAATAATATATTTATTTTTAAAAGATTTTATTTATTTATTTGTCAGAGAGAGAGAGAGAAAGAGAACACAAGCAGAGGGGAGCAGCAAGCAGAGGAAGAAGCAGGCTCCCTCAGACTTAACAGACTGAGCCACCCAGGCATCCCAAAATAATATATTTAAAAGAGGGGTCCAACTCAGATGGTTTTATGGAGAGTCCTCTGATTTCCCCACAATAGTCACATAACTACATAAATAAGTTATCATAACTTTGTGATTTATTTTTTCAAACTTTAAATATCTGATCCATTGGGAATGCATTTAGATTTAAGGAAGGAGGTGAGAATCCCTGTCTGCTGATTCTGGTTTCCTCACTTACTCATAAGTAAGTGCCACTGGGGCACCAGCTCAGCTAGGGCTGCCTCCTCCAGTGCCCTGGAGTAGAAATCATGTGAGCCATTACATCACCCATCTCACAAATGGGCCACAGAGGGTTTCCACCGTGATGCCCTTAAAACTCCGGACTACCATTTTTATAATCTCTCCTCCTTGTATCTTTTTTTAAAGATTCGCTTTTTTTTTTTTTTTTTTGAGAGAGAGACAGCACAAGTGGGGGGGTGGATAGGGAGAGGGAGAGAGACTCCCAAGCCGACTCAGCACTAAGCACAGAGCCCCACCCAGGGCTTAATCTCGGGACACCGAGATCATGATCTGAGCTGAAACCAAAAGCCCGGAGCTTAACAGACTGTTAACACCCAGGCACCCCTAAAGATTTTTATTTTTAAGTAATCTCTACACACAATCTGGGGCTGGAACTCACAACCCGGAGATCAAGAGATGCATGCTCCACTGAGTGAGCCTGCCAGGTGCCCCTCTCCCCCTTAAATCTTGCCAGTTTACATATTAGAGAAAAGAATCATTAATGTTTAAAATCAAAATGTCTAGTGAATGTCTGTCTAATTCAAAAGACTTGGATTCTCTATATCCAAGAATTGAAATATTTATATGCTAATGATGTTCACACAGCAGCATTATTCACAATATCCAAAAGGTGGAAAAAACATGTGTCCATTGACAGATCAGTGGATAAACAAAAGTGGTATATACATATAACGGAATTTTCTTCAGCCCTAGGAAGTAAGAAAATTCTAACATATGCTACAAATGGATGAACCTTGAACACAGTATGCTAAGTGCAACGAAAGGACAAATACTGCATGATTCCACTTAAATGAAGCACAGTAGTCAAAATCATAAAAGAAGAACTTGAGGACTTGTTATTGAATGGGTATAGTTTCAGTTTTACTAGATGAAAAGAGTTCTAGACATTGGTTTCACAACAATGTTGATGTATTTAATACTATCAAACCAAACACTTAAAAATGGTTAAAATGGTAAATTTTATATTTTGCCTCAACTGAAAAAAACAGCAGGTGAATTACATGCATGAGTCAAGAGTTTAGGGGGCTGTCCCCCTCCACACACAACAATGCCCCCATTCTAAAGGCGCCCTCCCC